CCCCCCCATTTCACCGTTGAGTCCAGCTTAGGCAGTCCAATAGTCAGCCACCTCCTGGACATGTGAAGAAACTCAGTTAAGTTCACAAGAGCTGCCTACCTGACATTTGAGCACTATGAACTCTGACTTTCACTGGATTCCCAGATATTTGAGCAATTGTTTTATGGTTGTTTGTTACACAACATTCTTGTGACATTAGGTCTCTGATATATTGTTTAATAACATAATTCCAGTTTTATTTAGTGTGGGGACATACTTAGCTAAAAGGCATTTCTTGGTTTCCCTTGCAGCTGAGTATGACCACCCAAAAAAGTTTTCACAAAAGAGATGTGAGCATAGATCTTGTTTAATATTTTTAAAAATGTTTTTTAAAGAGAAAGGAGAGGTCCTCTTTTGCTCTTCCTTCTTATCTCCTGGACTTCAACATTGGTGTGATGACTGAAGTTCCAGCAGTCAACTTGGACCAAGGGGAACATTGAGGATGGAGACCACTCACTAAAGAAAGATGGAAGAATCTTGGGCCCTGATGACCACAGAGTTGACAATACAAACCGTAGGTCACCTACGTATAAACTTCTTTTGTGTGAAAGCAAATAAACTATTTTGTTCATGGCACTGTTATTTTAGGGTTTACTCCATACACCGCTGAACTTAATTTTGATTGATACAAATAACTAGTTTGCCAATCTCAAGGTTTGCCGTCAACATTGCAACAGCAGGTTATGCTCTATTTGTGTGCATTTTCATTCTTCCTCTAGAGATAATGAACTACGTAACTTCAGAAGATAGTAATCGTAAGTATGAGTACCATCTCTACAACAGTTCCAGAAGAGCTGCTTGTTATGTAAACTCAAGGGATGCTGTGGGCTTGTGGTAGGAAAGGGCTTGGGAATCTGAGGTGTGTGGAAAGATCATCTAATAGTCAGCCAATCCCTAGACATGGAGGATATGTTTGCATCGTAGGATTGGAATGATAAAGATACTGTTGTGGGCTCATAGGGGGGATGTGAGGATGTGAGTAGGAGAAACAGAGGAAATGAAATCTATGGGAGTTTATTGTGTTAATTCTTTTTCTAGTAAAAGGACTCCATCACTACTGAGAATAATTTATCTGAATTCATGTTCCTTCTCTGTTGCATTCTCACTGTCATGATTTTCTGAGTAATGCTGGGTTGAAAGAATGAAAAGCTACAGCTACTTTCCCTCAACTTCCCACCCCTGCAATAAAGATAAAAAACATATTTTCTTTTCTGAACACATATATGCATATACATATATGCACAATAAATTAATTGTGGTCCTGAATTGAGAAAAATTGGGAACAACTTTGAACAAAACACAATTGAGAGCCACTAGATGATGCTTCAACTTAATTCTTTTAACATTTTGAAGGAAACTAAAATCTATTAACCTCAGGCAAGTAATTCTTCATTTTTTTCTTAATTTATGGGAGTCTTAATAAAATTTATAGGAGTCTTAAAATTTTCATATGACTGCCACTCCATTTACTGATTTTTTAGGTCTTCTTGGGTAGTTTTGGAACAATAACAGAAGAAAGATAAAATGTTTTAAATCAAAATTGAGGAGAAAGATTTTTTTTTCAGTTCCCAAACTTGAATTGTACTATTCCTGTCACTTAATTTTAGTAGAAACATTTTGTTTATCAAATGAAGTAAGGGTGGGTATTAATAATCTCATTTGAGGGAAAGGGGAAATATGAGGATCTCTTAGTGGTTAAGCCAAGGTTAGTACTCACATATTTCTTAAACTGAAGAGTTGAGATCACTAGTCACTAAAAGGCAAATAGCTGCTTGTTATATTAATGGGAGCAGACGGTTGGAGCTACAAATATAATTAGCTGGCCTTCTCTACTTCCTGGGTTCAACCCCATATCTCCTCTCATGATCTTTTAGAGGCATACATGATATTCTAAAGCTGGAAGGAAACTGGATAAACTAGGCCAACTTCCTCATTTTACAAAAGAGGAAATTGAGATTCTCAGAGTTAAGTCACCATTCTGTGCTACTAAGAAGCCAGCAGGAGTGTGAACTTGCTTTGCTTGCTGATGAGAGTACTCACAAAATGGACTTTACAGTTCATTTTATTTGGAGTGAGACATGGGGTTCAAGACGAAATTTATGGGAGTCTTAATAAGAGTCACAAGATGAAAAAGTAAAACAACACATGAAATGTTCATTAGATTAATTACTACTTTAAGGAAGAATTGGTTATTATTGTTGCTAAAAATTATTGAATTTCACCACACACCAAGGACATCACATGCCCAACTCTGACATGTGAAATCATATCTAAACTTTGAGAATATAAATGCAATAAAGAGATTTTGAAAATTACTTGTTTG